AGAGTGGCCTGGGTGGGCTGAGGGGCGGGGCCTGGATTGAGGGCGGGGCTGAGGGGCGGGACCGCGGGCTGAGGGGCGGGGCCTGGGCGCGGGGCGGGGCACTCACTGAGCCGAAGCATGCCCTCCCCGTCGGGCTTGTCGTCCCGCCACTGGCCTTCGAAGATGTCGCCGTTGCTGTAGTACATACGGCCCCACCCACTGCGCTGGTTGCCGCACCACTCGCCCTCGTAATACTCCTCGTCTCCATAAAACTGGACCCCGTAGCCCTGCGCACACGGGGGCGGCCCGCTAGGCGCTGCGCCAGAGGCGCCCCTCGCGCCGCGGCCTCGCCCCCGCCGCCGCCCCCTCCCTCCGCGTTCCAGCCCCAGACACCCCATCTCAGGGCCTTCCGTGCCCCTGCTCTAGCAGTCTCCCCCTTGCTGAGTCGCCACCTTGATAACTCTCCCCAAGTCTGGTTTGAGCCCATTAAAAGCCTGATATCTGTGAGAATCACATCAAAGCTGTGGGTTTAGTCCTCAAGAATCACCCCCACGACGCCCACCTTCAGGAGGTTGGGTTAAGCTCCCCAAGTCTCCCCACGCCCATCCCGACGCCCCACTGACCTTTGGCGCCCCGTGTTTGCTGCTCCCGGTGTCCCCTTTGCCCCCAACACCCGCTTACTTTGGCATCACCCCTACAGGAAGCCCCTCCCCCCCATCCTAACTCCATCAAGCTGTCGTTTACTCTGGGGTGTCTGCGCCAGCCGGAAACCACCTGCTGGCAGGGCCAGCGCTTGGCCCCCCACAGTCCCCGCGGAGTCCACCCCACCAGGGAATGACCCCACGGGCGGCAGGCCCGGCTCCCCGCTGCCCCCTCAGTAGGGTATCTTGGTGGGTCCACCTGTGCTGTTCGGCACTGCCTCTGGGGTGACCTCTCACCCCCACCGCAGGCTCTGGTGTGCATAAGTGATAAGTGCTCACCGGAGTTCGGGATAGAAACTTAGGCAGCAAGTCCCAGTCTGTGCCGGTCAGCCGGGCCCTGCGGCCTGCTGCCCCAGGGCCTCCCCTCTCCCTCGCAGCCCAGCGCGGGGAGATGACCCGTGCTCCCCGTCCCGCCCTCCTGCCCCTTGTTGGGGCCCACCAGAAAGGTGTTCTTAGAAGAGGGATGCCGGGGAAGGAAGCGGGGAGCGGAGGGAGGGCAGGGGGCCGCAGGGAGGGCAGGCAGCCGCAGGCGGCCCTTGGGCCTCAAGGAGCTCTGCCCCCCTCTTCCTCTGCCCTCCCCAGCCCTTTCCCAAGCGCCCCACTGCCCACCTCCCTCACCCATTTCCTTTTCTTTTGATACTTATTTGTTTATGCGTAGAGAACTGGGGTGTAGGCCAGCGCTGTGAGGGGACCCTGAGATGGAGTGGGGAGCCGGCAGAACAGGCAGCGTGGCGACGTGCCCTGCTGAGAGGGCAGTGGCGGCCAGGGGGGTCTGCTGCCCTGGGGTCACCTCCGGCGAGGATGTAACTTGCAGTAAGGCCTGCGCCCCGCCACACGCCCAAACCCCGCTGTGGGCGCCCCAGGGGAGCCCACTCACCCACTTCTTGTCGCCCCTCCACCAGCCCGAGTACACCCTCCGGTGTCTGCCGGTCTCGGGGTCTGGGAGGCTCAGGGTGCCGTGGCCGTCTCGCTTCCCGTGCTTCCAGTCACCCTCATAGACGGCCCCTTTCTTCCAGATCTGGGTTCCCTTCCCTGCGACACAGGCAGGCTCTCCGGGAGGCCCTTGTCTGCCTCTGCCCGCCCAGCCCTGCCTGCTCGCCCAAAGCACTGGGCAGGCCCCTGCACGGCCCGTCTGAGCGAAACAGCTGAGACCCGGCCAGCGGGGCAGCCTCACCCGTGGTCAGGCGACGCAGTGCAGGGCCGGCCCGGCAGTCAGAAAGGGCTCTGTCCACCCCTCTGCTGCCCCATGGCTGAGAGCCCCAGGCACTTGCTAACCTCCCTTTGAGGGGCTGGGGGCTGCCACGTAGGGGAGGGGGGTCAGCCTCGCAGGCATCTGGACCAGGAGGTCTGGGTGGCTGCCCCTGCCCACAGACAGCACCCAGAACTCCTGCCCGTCCACTTGAATGACGGCCTCCCTTGTCTCCCCGGGCAGGCAGCACCCCCCTGACAGGCACCCAGGGCTGAGGCTCCCTCGGGGCCAGGGCCGGGTTTGCCCAGGCTGGGGCCCCAGGGCGGCCCGGAGGGCAGGCAGGAGGCGGTCAGCAGGCTAGAACTGCAGACCAGGCGCTGCCTGGGGGTCTGCAGGAGGCAGGACTTGGGTTTTCAGGGCTTAGCGGGCAGCACCAAGACCCCCGACCCCTGCTGGTTCGACCAGGGCTCAGCCCAGGTAAACTGGGGCCCAGGTACTTTGAGGACGGGTGTGCCTGCGTCACCCCCCCCAACCCTCTTAAGGTCATCGGCCTTTTGAGGACCAGAACCCAAGTTCAAGCTGGGGCCGCCGCTGCGCCCTCTGCTGGCCAGGCCATACGCAGGCGGCAGAGGACAGGCAGGGGCTGGCCTGGGCGCCCAGAGCTGGCCATATCTGCGGCCAGACCACTGCGGCCTCCCTGGTGCACAGGGCTCCGGGATCCCTGCCCGCCAGGGCCAGGGCCGTTCTGCTCCCCACTCTGCCTCCGGTGCATCCTGCGCCGCACCCTGAGCCTCGGCCTGTGCCCCAGTATCTCTAAAAATATATATTTACTTGTGCACACAGTGCTGGGGTGCAGGGCAGGGTGGGGTGAGAGGAGCCCCAGAGGCAGAGCTGGGGCCAGAGCTGGGAAGTGCCGAGCCCGCCGCTGGGGGCCGGGGGCCAGGCAGGAGCGGGAGCCAGGCGGGTGCTGCGCCCGGGGTCCGGTCTGGCTGCGGCCTCCCTGAGGCGGTGCTGGCCGTCAGCGCTGGCCACCCCGTGAGTAAATCTGCGAAAGACACCGCGGGCGGCTGGGCCCTTCTCCGCGGTCCCCGCCCTTGCCGCGCCCGCGGCCCGGCGCTCCTCACCGTGCTTCTTGCCGTCTCTCCACTCGCCCACGTAGCGGTCGCCGTTGGTGGCGTGCACCTGGCCCCGCAGCCCGTCCTTCTGGGCCCTGCGGTCCCACTCCCTCCACCGGGGCTGTGGCCGCTGCTGCGGCTTGGTCAGGGGCATGCCGGCGGCGGGGCCCTTGGGCGAGGCAGCCCTGGCGGACGCCCGCGCTGGACGCGGCCTCGGGCTCCTGTGCGGCCGCCTGGTGCGGGTCTGATGGCACAATCGCGTGGGAGCCCGGGAGACGCGGGAGGATGACGGCGCGGCCGGACCGGGCCGGCGCGGGCGCTCTTAGCGCCGCGACCCTCCGCTGACCATCCCGAGTTTCTGACACGCTTTGTTTGATTTTGTCCAGACGGGCTGGGGCACGAGGTGGCGGGGAGAGTGGGGGGCGGAGCAGGAGGGTCCGCTGACACTCGCCGCTGAGGGAGCCCAGGCGGGGCCTGCCGCGCGGGGTGGGGGGGCCCTCCCTTGCAGGGTGACTTCCCCGGACTGGAAATTCGAAGCGCCCTGAGCAGCCCCGCGGAGTCCCCGCGGGCTTGCGCTGTGCTCCGCTCCTCTGCCAGCCCCGAGTCCGAGAGCCTCGCGCTGCGAGTCCTCTCTGCAGGGTCCACCGAGTCACTGCCGCGCCGGGACGGGCTGGGCCGTCGCCACCGACAGGGAGACCCGCGCCGGGCGCCCTCGGGCGGCAGCCAACAGTTCCAGGGCCGCGAGCGCCCCGCGCCCCGCGCCCGCACCCGCGGTCAGCCCGTGCTTCCTGCAGGTAAGGTCAGCTCTCCCCAACTTGGGGTGCGGGCGCTCCAGAGGGGGCTGCGGCCCCGGACAGCCGCTCACGGAGAGGCCGCGGCAGGGCCACGCGGCACATCCGAGCCTCCTCCGGCCCCCGCCCCAGCCCCGGTAGAACCTGGATGCACCTGGCGGAGCACGGGGTCGCGGTGCCCAGGGCAGGGCAGCGCGCGGCATCCAGGCGCTGGGCGCTGTGGCAACCACAGCGGAGAGCTGCAGG